GTATGGTACCGGTTATGACTCAAACCCATGGTCGATCGAGCGAATTCCATCTTGGGGGAATAAGCGTTCAAGAACCAACAGTTCAAGACCATCTCCCTTACCCTACCAGGTGCAATGGAAACAAGTCCTCTGGGTGCAAGGGCTAAGGGGAACAGAAAGAGAAGCAAACACCCATCCCTGTGCAATGGAGTCATCTCCTAGGGGTGCAAGGGCTGTTTGTCTCAAAATTCAGGTACCACAGCTATACAGACAAGAATCAACCAGGCCAAGACTCCTCACTGACCCAGTGTAAAGGGCAAATGTTCTGGGGTGCAACGCTGATGGCCTAACATTTAGCACCACCACTCGTGAGGGGGAGACTGCTTATAATTGAGGCAGTGATAACCACACTGCAGGGGAAGCCCCTAGTACTTTGGAAGCGCCTGTGCAAAAATAGCCTTGTCAAGATTATGTTGAACTCTGAGTTTGCAACCAACCAAAAGATGAATACTAATCCACAACTAGGGTATACCAAACAGGCCTACTCCCACCCACTTAAAAAAGGGAAGAAAAGGAAAGGAGGACAGTCCCTCAGTCAGGGACAGATCCACGTGCGTCGAGTTGATGTTCACCACAGCTGCTCTCAATTTTCTGAGTGTCTCACTGAAGTTTTCTGAGCAGTTTCCTGTAAGATACTGAAACAATTTTCTGGACAGATTAGTTACACGAGTAAAGTTTTTATACTGTACACTGGTGATGTAAAGTGTACCCAGTTTTCTCTCACATCTCAATTGGGCTAGTTGAAAGAGGATATCTAATCTCTCTCTCATTAAATCAAGGCGTTGATTAAGGATCATTAGCCCGCCTTTTAGTAGGGTACTGGCGGAGGTTTGAAGGTTAACAGTCTCTGCCACCGTGGCTGACAATTGGGGGTAGTGTCCACCTGAACAGAAGTTGACATAGCAATCTCAGTGGCAGTGGCGGTAACGGCACTAATTAATATCGTCGTCACTATGGCTGTAGTTATACCAAAATCTCTTTTTTGTCTAAATAATGACAAAGTGGAAGGAGTCTCCACGGGGATGGGAACCCATCGCGTGACTCTGGCAACCATAGCGCGAGTGAATCTTTAGAATTCCAACACTGGGACATCCAGCAGGTTTTATTGGTACAATTCTTAAAGGTGGAATTTGATAAAATAAACAAAAATACTAGGAACCTGTATCCCTAGGATCAGCACAAGGGCTATCATCAGAACCTGGAGGGTCTGTCTGGGTGTCACCTTCCAGTATCGTGAGTTGTCGCGTCAGCCGTTCTGGTAACCAAAATGGATTGTCTTCTTCCTGTGGAAACACACAGACCGCTCCCCTGGCTTTTATTAAAATAGAATCTGGACCTTTTCATTGTCCGGTCAAGATGTCCTTTTATTTGACCATTTCTTTTGGCCTGTCAAGCTGAAAATGAGGTTTTAGCCAATTAATATCTGTTAACAACTTTTGAGAATCACTTTTCTGGAGCAACAAGTACTCTAAAATCTTAAAGCTCGTTGTACTAGAGCAAGGGCTTGTGGAAAACTCCTTTAGAGAGATCAGCCAATAAAATATACAACGAATAATATACACTGAGAGATTTAAATGCTTTAACCTTTTGTATTAAAGCAACAACAAATTTTTTAAGGCCATTAATTATTCTTTGAGGCAAGCCTTTTTAATGAATGGCTTCATGGGCTCTCAAAAATCATAAGCAATTTCACTTAATGCAAACCTCTCACCTTTACCAGGAGGTAAAGGAACTGTATAGAACAATCTCTTAAATCTATAATAATTTTTTATATGCATTTACTTGAATGGCAGCTGGAGTAGGCAAGTCAGGCTGTAGTGCCCCATTAGTCTTATAAATCTTAAATTTGAACTTTCTCTGTGTAGCCCTGGCTGTCCTGGAACTCACTCTGTAGACCAGGCTGGCCTTGAACTCAGAAATCTGCTTGCCTCTGCCTCCCAAGTGCTGGGACTAAAGGCGTGCGCCACCACCACCCGGCTCTAGTGTTTTTTGGATTAATTGAATAACCAACTCCTTTTAGCTGAGTGAAGTATCAAATAAAGCCAAGCTGAAGGCAATCTTGTCCTCTAATAATTGTTAATTAGCCCCAGTATCTATCAATCTTTTAAAACCCTTTTTCTTTTAATTATTAATTTAAGATTAGGTTTTTTAGTTACTGATAAGACCTAATACACATCAGAGGAACCAAGGCCATTTTGTCTCCTATTACACTCAACAATTTTGGCCTGGCCCAAAAGCTGTTTTGAATTTCTTTTGAGTCTGAGGCTGACACCTCCCTAAGGAACAAGCAAGGCAATAAACAATTTTTAGAGAACACCCTTTTTGAGGCGGGACAGGACAATAGGAATGTCTGAAATCTAAGCTCTTGTCTCAACTACTCTGTTATAGTCTTAATTTAAATGTAAATGTTTTAATCTTGGCCTATATCCTGAGGCCTGGCCCAAGGATTATCCTTCTTGCACCAAGGACAGGTGTGTCAGGTAACCTTGGTCACCTGGCTGTTGTTTAAGTCTCTGTTCCTGGGACAGTCACTTTAAAAACTATCTAAATTTCTACATTTAAAACACTCCCCATCTCTATGGCTCTGTGCAGTTATGGCCAGACCCTGATTGCATGAGGGTGCAATTTCATTGCAAAGACAAGTATCTAAGTCTGTCTTTGCTTGTATGTTCTGAGGGCTGTGTGGGCAGTTTAACCTGATTAACATCACACTGACCTTGTCTTACAAGCACGTTAAGATCTCAGTCTGTGTGTCTTAATTTAAATGTAAACGTTCTTAATCTCTAGCAGGCCAGTACTGTATCACAACTTGTTATAAATATTTTTATTTAACTCTACCTGCTGCCCCCCCCTTTCTATAACATGGGCGAATCAAAAAAAAAAATTTTTAAACTCAAGATTACAACTGCCAACTGCAGCCAATGGAATACTGGCAGTTTAACTAAATTTTTAAATATCTTTTGTAGCATTAGAGTGTAACCATTAATTTTGAGAAGCAAAAGCAAAACTAATCCAAACAGTCTATCTTCTCTAAAATCAACACCAAGCAGACCACCCCTATGCTATAAAGTTTTGCCGCCAATTCTCTACACATGAATGTATGAAGCAGCTTTTAATCTCATTGAAGAGACATTGGTCTAAAATCTTACTTTCTATATACCTGGTTTCTGAACGACTCCAACACTGAGCTAGTTCCACGCCACCTTTCGTTATCAAAGTTGTAAATTTTTAATTACACCCAATAATTTAAGCCAATAGTCTATAACCAAGACATGTAGAACATTTTTATACTTTTAAAACCAATCCGAAACAACAATGAAATGGCTATATATCTTATTTTTAGATCAAACAAAATTTCTTGTCTTTCTAGCTGTAATTTCAAGAGAAAAGCACCTTGTCACAGAGGTTTTTCTAGGACAAAGCGACTCTTAGCTTCCTTATAAAACCCAAAATGCTGCTGGTCTCTTTTAAAAGCAGCTTATGTCAACCTCAATTCCTGAAAAGACTTTTTTAGCTCCCAAAGGTTGGATCAAGCAGTTTTAACGATCTTTCTTTTTGAACACGTAACAAACACAGATCATTTAGACAACGAAACAAAAGGCAAACACAAACACGTGGACATTGGCTCGCCAAGGACAAGCGACAAGGAAGGACTCTAAGAACTACAGAGAATTTCAGGACATCTCCCGAATTCTCTGCTTCTAGATGAACTCTGAAATAGCCTTTTCATTCTTTTTGCTGACACAGCTCAGAGAGAGGGCACCTGTATTTTTTAAAAACTCTTTCTCTCTCTCTCATATTTAAAATGTAACTTTTCATCTCGTTCATAGGAGATGTAGCGGGCAGCTAATTTAACACTTCAATACCCTGCTTTCTAATTCTTTTTAACCCTGCTCTTCCCGCCTGAAGCAGTTTTTAGGCTGCAGGCAATTTAGAATTCTCTTGACCTATGTTTCCTTGTCACCTCCTAGGCAAAATCCTCATTCACCTAGACTGACTCCCCCAAACCACTCTTCATCTGAGTCCTCTGAGTCGGAAGTTAGCCCCTCTGACTCAGAGCTATCACGCCGTAAAAACCCCGGCTCTTTTACCAGATACAGAGGTTTCTTTCTGAGGCTTACTTTCCTTCCGTCTCTCCCGAGAGCGTTCTTTCTCTCATCTCTCATCCCCGTGAATTGGTTATCGGGGAGGCCTGATTTCTTAAATACGTCTTTTTTCCCTTTTCCTTTCTGAATATTTATGCGCTTCCATTTCTCTGTCTCTGTTCCTGACATGCTGACCTGTAATCCATTTTCCACTCCCCGAGCGGCCACGAGGACCAAAGGGAAGAAAACTAAGGCTGCTAACACCATAGCGAAAGCCTCTAAGGTTCCTGCCAACTGGGGAGGGAAGTGAACTAAATCAAATCGAGACATATCTTTCAGAGAACATTACCCCGTTCTACGGTTCTGGATTCACTCCGCGCGTGGATGGGAAGCGGCGGAGGGTCTTCTGAAAACGTGCCGGCGATGGTAATTTCTCCCGGGTTTCGGCACCAAATGTGCGGGGCGCGCGCGTAGTGGTCTCGCCGGCAAAAAACATACACACACGCACACACACATACACACCAGAATCCTTCCGTAGAAACACGTTTATTCCCATAAACCAAAATGGTGGTAGAAGACGACTCCCAGCCCTGGGAAAAGCCCTTATATACCCTAGAGCGGCGTAATCATCTCTGATTGGCCGCAAACTCGTAGCGCGCCAAACGCCGTGGGATGGGCTTAGCCTTGGCGGGCTTTACATGGCACATGCGCACTTTATTTGTTTACTAGGAAGAATTATGGCTGACAGCGCCACCTAGCGATGGCGGACTTTGCCAGCACCTGCCGCGGCTCCTAACATTTTACTAATTTTATAACCACAAACTTGTACAGAGAATGATGCCCTATAAAAAACACAACAGATTCAAATGAGATGTTCCCTTAGCAAGGCTGAAGATTCAGTCTCTGGTATTTGGAATTTAGGATGCAGTCCTTGTTTTTGGATGGATCACTGGGTGTTTGTCACAGTCCATGCTTTTAACCAGATTTGAACAGAAGAATGGCCACCTGACCCAGGTAGAAGTAGATGAAGTGTTTGGTTTCGTGTGTCACATAACTACCGAAGTTCCGGCCCACAATGCAGTGCCAGGTGGGGTTGTACTTCTTGTCAAACTCCTTCTTGATATGGGCCGCAATATCCTTCTGTATGTTGTACTTCTCCAACGCCTGAGTAGCGCACTCCACCGAGTCCTGTTGCATCTCTTCTGACAGGTCTGCATTTTTGATCACCGCCTTCAGGTCGCACATGGTTACAGTGGAGCAGGGGCCAGCTGGCTGCTGAGAGCTCTTAGGGAAGGTGCTGGCGCCGCTCAAGCAGCAGAGGACAGCCGGTCACTACAGAAGCCGTGGTGCATCTTATCTGTTTATTTTTTATTATTATTGGCTATTTTATTTTTTTACATTTCAGATGCTATCTTTACCATCCCCCCAGAAACCCCTCATCCCATCCCCCCTCATCCTGCTTCTATGAGGGTGTAGCCTCACCCCTCTACCCACTCCCATCTCCCCACACTCTAATTACCCCACGCTGGGACTTCCAGCCTTAACAGAACCAAGGACTTCCTCTCCCATTGGTGCCCGACAAGGCCATCCTCCCTTACATATACAGCTGGAGTCATGGGTTTCTCCATGCCCTGGGAGCTCTGTTTGGTTGGTATTGTTGCTCTCCCTATGGGGCCGCAAGCCCCTTCAGTTCCTTCAGTCTTCTCTCTAACTCCTCCATTGGTCACCCAGTGATCAGATCAATGGTTAGTTGTGAGCATCTGCCTCCCTATATGTAAGGCTCTGGCAGAGCCTCTCAGGAGACAGCTATATCAGGCTCCTGTCAGCATGCCCTTCCTGGAATCCACAGTAGTATCTGCATTTGGTGACTGCACATGGGATGGATTCACAGGGTGTGACAATCTCCAGAAGGTCTCATCTCCAGTCTCTGCTCCATACTGTGTCTCCGTATTTGCTCCACTGAGTATTTGTTTCTCCTTCTAAGAAGGACTGAAGCACCCCACACTTTGGTCTTCCTTCCTCTTGAGCTTTATGTGGTCTGTGAGTTGTATTTTGAATATTGTGAGCTTTTGGGCTAATATCCACCTAGCAGTAAGTGAATACCATGTGTGTTCTTTTGTGATTGAGTTACCTCACTCAGGATGATACTTTCTAGTTCCATCCATTTGCCTAAGAATTTCACGAATTCATTGTTTTTAATAGCTGAGTAGTACTCCATTGTGTAAATGTATCACATTTTCTGTATCCATTCCTCTGTTGAAGGACATCTGGGTTCTTTCCAGTTTCTGGCTATTATAAATAATGCTTCTATGAAAATAGTGGAGCATGTGTCCTTTTTACTTGTTGGAGCATCTTCTGGCTATATGCCTCGGAGTGGTATAGCTGGTTCTTCAGGTAGCCCAATTTTCTGAGGAACCGTCAGAATGCTTTCAAGAGTGGTTGCACCAGCTTGCAATCCCACCAACAATAGAAGAGTGTTTTTCTTTCTCCACATCCTTGCCAGCATCTGCAATCATCTGAGTTTTGATCTTAGCCACTCTGACTGGTGTGATGTGGAATCTCAGGGTTGTTTTGATTTTTGTTTCCCTGATGACTAAGGATGTTGAACATTTCTTTAGGTGCTTCTTGGCCATTTGAGTTTCCTCAGTTCAGAATTCTTTTTTTTTTCTTTCGCTCTGTACTCCATTTTTAAATAAGACTATTTGATTGTTTAGAGTCTAATTTCTTGAGTTCTTTGTATATATTGGATATTAACCCTCTATTGGATGTAGGATTGATAAGAATCTTTTCCCAATCTGTTGGTTGCCATTTTGTCCTATTGACAGTGTAATTTGCCTTACAGAAGCTTTGCAATTTTATGAGATCCCATTTGTCAATTTTTGATCTTCGGGCATAAGCCATTCTGTTCAAGAACTTTTCCCCTGTGTCCATGTGTTCAAGGTTCTTCCCCACTTTCTCTTCTATTAGTTTTAGTGTATATTGCTTTATGTGAAGGTCCTTGATCTACTTTGACTTGAGCTTTGTGCAAGGGGATAAGAATGGATCCATTTGGATTCTTCTACATGCTGACCTCCAGTTGAACCAGCACCATTTGTTGAAAATGCTGTCCTTTTCCCACTGGATTCTTTTACCTCCTTTGTCAAAGATCAAGTGACCACAGGTGTATTGGTTCATTTCTGGGTCTTTAATTCTATTCCACAGATCTTCCTGGATGTCTGTGTACAAATACCATGCAGTTTTTATCACTATTGCTCTATAGTACAGTTTGAGATCCAGGATGGTGATTACCCCAGAAATTCTTTTATTGTTGAGAATAGTTTTTGCTATCCTGAGTTTTTCTTATTTCAAATGAGTTTGCAAGTTGCTCTTTCGAAGTCTATGAAGAATTGAGTTGAGATTTTGATGGGGGTTGCATTGAATCTGTAGATTGCATAAGACAAGATGGCAATTTTTACTCTTTTAATCCTGCCAATCCATGACCATGGGAGATCTTTCCATCTTTTGAGGTCTTCTTCGATTTCTTTCTTCAGAGACTTGTAGTTCTTGCTGTACAGATCTTTGACTTGTTTGGTTAGATTCACAGTAAGGTAGTTTATATTATTTGTGACTTTTGTGAAGAATATCATTTCTCTAATTTCTTTCTCTTCCTGTTTATCCTTTGAGTAGAGGAAGGCTCCTGATTTGTTTGAATTCATTTTATATCCAGTCACTTTGCTGAAGTTGTATATCAGGTTTAGGAGTTGTTTGGTAGGAGTTTTGGGGTCATTTAAGTATGCTATTATATCGCCCACAAATAGTGATATTTTGACTTCTTCTTTTCCAATTTGTATCCCTTTGACCCCCTTTTGTTGTCTAATTTCTCTGGCTAGAACTTCCAGAACTATATTGAATAGATAGGGGAGAGAGTGGGTGTGGGACTGCATAAGGGTATCCTAGGTCATGGTTGAGCAGGTACTTAGAACCCCGAGATTCTCTGTGGAATTCTGTGTGAGAACTGGCAGGAGTTCGGTCCCTCCCATCATCTAGGATCCTGAAAAACAGTCACATTTCCACAGAGTCACATAGGCCAGGCTATAGGCCTCAGGCCCTAGAGATTTACATACTAATGAAGGCCAGAGGGCAGAGCAAATTAAACATTCCTCCCCCAGATCCTCCCCTAATCCTCCCCCTTTCTCCCTCCCTATATAACTCGGGACTGCCCTGAGTTTTGTGTGGGGGTACGCCTAGATCCATCTATTATCTGCCATGACAATAAACCTTTTTGGAACCAAGGACTTCCCCGTGTTACTGGGGCCTGCCGCCGCCAAGGCCCTCAGGCCGCTGGAACCATAGGATCTCCCTCCCGATGTGGGACCCGCCACGGCGGCAGGCTTGCGCCGCTGTGGCGGCCTTCTTAAATTTTCCCCACAAGTGGGCAGCCTTGTCTAGTCCCTGAGTTTAGTGGGATTGCTTCAAGTTTCTCTCCATTTAGTTTGATGTTGGCTACTGGCTTGCTGTATATTGCTTTTTACTTTGTTTAGGTATGGGCCTTGAATTCCTGATCTTTCCATGACTTTTACCATGAAGGGATGTTGAATTTTGTCAAATGCTTTCTCAGCATCTAGTGCTATGCTCACGTGGGTTTTTTCTTTGAGATTGTTTACATAGTGGATTACATTGATGGATTTCCGAATATTGAACCAACCCTGCATTCCTGGGATAAAGCCTACTTGATCATGATGGTTGATTTTTTTGATGTGTTCTTCGATTCAGTTTTCCAGAATTTTATTGAATATTTTTACATCGATATTCATAAGGGAGATTGTTCTGAAATTCTCTTTCTTTGTTGGGTGTTTGTGAGGTTTAGATATGAGTGTGATTGTAGCTTCATAGAATGAATTGGGTAGTGTTCCTTTCATTTCTATTTTGTGGAATAGTTTGAAGAGAATTGGTATTAGGTTTTCCTTGAAGGTCTGATAGAATTCTTCACTAAAACCATCTGGTCTTGGGGTTTTTTTTTTTTGGTGGGGAGACTTTTAATGACTGCTTTTATTTCTTTGGGGGTTATGGGACTGTTTAGATGGTTTATCTGATCCTGATTTAGGTACCTGGTATCTGTCTAGAAAGTTTTCCATTTCATCCAGATTTTCCAGTTTTGTTGAGTATAGGCCTTTGTAGTAGGATTTGATTATTTTTCTGAATTTCCTCAGTTTCTGTTGTTATGTCTCCCTTTTCAGTTGTGATTTTATTAATTTGGATACTCTCTTTGTGCCCTCTGTTAAGTCTGGCTAAGAGTTTATTGATCTTGTTGATTTTCTCAAAGAACCAGCTCGTGATTTTGTTTGTATTTTGTAGAGTTCATTTTGTTTTGAAATCAGGGTTGATTTCAGCCCTGAGTTTGATTATTTCCTGTTGTCTACTCCTCTTGGGTGTATTTGGCTCTTTTTGTTCTAGAGCTTTCAGATGTGCCGACAAGTTGTTAGAGTATGCTCTCTCCAGTTTCTTTTTGTAGGCACTTAGAGCTATGAATTTTCCTCTTAGCACTGCTTTCATTGTATTTCACAAGTTTTGTTATTATGTGCCTTCATTTTCTTTCAATTCTAAAAAGTCTTTAATTTCTTTATTTATTTCTTCTCTGACCTAGTTATCAAGCATTTTTCAGTTTCCATGTGTATGTGGGCTTTCCATAGTTTTTGTCATTATTGAAGACCAGCCTTAGTCTGTGATGGTCTCATAGGATGTATGGGATTATTTCAATTTTCTTTTATTTGTTGAGGCCTGTTTTGTGACCAATTATATGGTCTATTTTTGAGAAGGTACCATGATGTGCTGAGAAGAAGGTATATTCCTTTGTTTTAGAATGAAATGTTCTATAAGTATCTATTAAATCTATTTAGTTCATAACTTCTGTTAGTTTCACTGTGTCTCTGTTTAGTTTCTGTTTCTATGATCTGCCCATTGCTAAGAGTGGGGTGGTGAATTCTCCCACTATTATTGTATGATGTGCAATGTGTGCTTTGATCTTTATTAAAGTTTTTGTGTGTGTGTGTGTGTGTGTGTGTGTGTGTGAATGTGAGTGCCCTTGCATTTGGAGCATAGATGTTCAGAACTGAGAGTTCATCTTGGTTGATTTTTCCTTTGATTTGTATGAAGTATCCTTCCTTATCTTTTTTGATAACTTTTGTTGGAAAATCATTTTTTTTCCATATCTGAGTGGCTACTCCATGTAATTTCTTGGGACCATTTGCTTTGAAAATTGTTGTCCA